TATATATACAACAATTCTTACTCTAAGTCGAGAACAGTTTATAAAAGCTAGGGTCCTTTGGCAAAAAATAAGGACTATTAAGTACTTTTCTAAGATTTCACCAAAAATAAGTACTAATAAGGGCCCTTATTTTATTTTTGGCAAAATAAGTACTTATAAGACTTTGGAAGACCCGCTACGAACCCTGCGAGAGACAGACTTACCACGCCGATAAGGTATGGACTCCCAGCATCGCCCAGTAGGTGCGAGATGAGGATCTGGAAAGCCTGCGCGGTCGAGCGTCGCGTGGGCACGGTCACGTACTGCCGAGAGAGAAGTGAAATAACGCTTGTCAAGCAAACACGGACAAGCCAAGTCAACAAGGACAGCTGGTCACTAAAACTCTAACCGCTAAAACTCATTGTCGCAATGGCGAGTGTGACGTCGGAAATCGACGAAGCGAGTTCCGAATAAATCTAACTTACCGAACTTCAAATGATTTGAATGTGGAATTTTGGCACGAAACCTAAAAAAGTTCCGATAATTTTGCCACGAAACAGGAAAAACGCTCTGATATGGTCATGAGGCCACTGTGATACTGTGACGTGGAATGAACTTACCAATACAATGTCGGCTTGTACGGACCAGTTAAGGCACAAGAGGGTTTCGCCGATAAATATCAACGCCTGCCAAAAAATAAATCAGGCATTTACATCAACATCCGAACCGAATATCCCGCGAAAAGATTCTGCAATGCAAAATTAACCGACCATTTATTTTATCGCGAATAAACATTAATAATCAAATGATAGTATAACATCAAAAATTAATAAAATAATCGAATAATAGTATAACATCCCATATTTTAAATAAAATAATCCGAACCCGACTGCCGACCGACGCTCCCTTCCGTTTCCGCTCCCACTTTGTCCACCGCGACACGACGAATACTCACTCAGGCAGAGATTAATTCATTAATAATATAATTAATTAATCAAGCAATTATTTCATCGTCCGACGAAACCAAACTGAACATCCGCAACATTTTATCGTCCGAACGCGAACCCCCTTCAAATAAATTCCGAAAATACAAAAAACCCAAAACCCGACGCTCCCTCTCTCTCCGTTTCCGTCGCGTCGAAGAAGACTCACCCAGGCGGCGCCACCGCTGCTTTTGCTGGCGACGAGCGCGAAGAAGAGGAAGGGCGAGCAGGAGAGGAGTCCGAACGCGCAGACAAGGGGGTCAGCGCGAGGATTCGTCCGCTTGATCAGCTGAGCGGCCTGGGAGCCGGCGGCAACGCCGACAACACCAGCGACGCACGTGATCACGCCGAAGATGATGCTGACCCTGCCGAGAGAGGAGGGGAGGAGGTTACGCCGAGAGAGGAGGGGGAGGAGGTTACGCCGAGAGAGGAGGGGGAAAAAGTTAACGCCGAGAGATGGAGGGGGAGGAGGTTACGCCGGAAGAGAGAGGGGGGAGGAGGTTTACGCCGAGTAAGAGGAGGGGCGAGGAGGTTTATGCGAGAAGAGGGAGGGGGAGGAGGTTGAGCCGAGAGAGGCAGGGGGAGGAGGTTACGCCGAGAGAGAGGGAGAAAGGAGGTTAACTCCGTGAGAGGAGGGGAGGAAGGTTACGCCGAGAGAGGAGGGGAGGAGGTTAGCGATCGAGAGAGGAGGGGGAGGAGGTTATGCCGAGAGAGGAGGGGGAGGAGGTTACGCCGAGAGAGGAGGGGGAGGAGGTTACGCCGAGAGAGGAGGGAGAGATGGTTACGCCGAGAGAGGAAGGGGGAGGAGGTTACGCCGAGAGAGGAGGGGAGGAGGTTACGCCGAGAGAGGAGGGGGAGGAGGTTACGCCGAGAGAGGAGGGGAGGAGGTTACGCCGAGAGAAGAGGGGGAAGGAGGTTACGCACCGAAAGAGGAAGGGGAGTGAGGTTAACGCCGAGAGACGGAGGGGGAGAGGTTACGCTACGAGAGAGGAGAGGGAGAAGGTTACGCCCAAAGAGGAAGGGGAGCGAGGTTTACGCGCGAGAGAGGAAGGGGGAGGCAGGTTACGGGCCGAGAGAGAGAGGGAGGAGGTTACGCCGAGAGAGGAGAGGGACAGGGAGGTGTACGCGCGAGAGAGGAGGGGGCAGCAGGTTACGCCTCAAGAGAGGAGGAGGAGGAGGTTACGGCGAAGAGAGGAGGGGGAGGAGGTCTACGCCGAGCAGAGGAGGGAGAGGAAGAAGATGAGGGGTAGAGGTAGGTTACGCCGAGAGAGGAGGGGATGGAGGTTATGCCGAGAGCCGGAGGGAGGAGGATACCGCCGAGAGAGGAGAGGAGGAGGTTATGCCGAGAGAGGAAGGGGAGGAGGTTATGCCGAGAGAGGAGGGGGAGGGGGTTTACGCCGAGAGAAGAGGCCGGGAGGAGAGAGGAGGGGGAGGAGGTTACGCCGAGAGAAGGGAGAGGAGGTTACGGCCGAGAGAAGGAGGGGGAGGAGGTTACAAGACGAATACACCGAGAAGAGGAGGGGGAGAGGGTATTACGCCGAGCACGAGAGGAGGGGGTAGGAGGTTACGGACCCGAGAGAGGAAGAGGGAGGAAGCGTTACGCCCGAGAGAGGAGGGGAGGAGGCTTACACCGAGAAACGAGGAGGGGGAGGGAGGTTACGCCGGAGTAGAGGAGGGGTGGGGAGGCAGGTTACACCGGAGAGAGGGAGGGGAGGACGGTTACATGCCGAGAGAGGGAAGGGGGAGGAGGTTAAGCCGAGAGAGGAGGGGGAGGGAGGTTACAGCGCGAGAGAGGGAGGGGGAGGAGGTTACGCCGAGAGAGGCAGGGGGGAGGACGGTTACATCCGAGAGAGGAGGGGGAGGAGGTTACGGCCCGAGCAGAGGAGGGGGAACGGAGGAGTTACGCCGAGGAGCAGGAGGAGGGGAGGAGGTTACGCGGAAAGAGGGAGGGAGGGAGGAGGTTACCCGAGAGATGGAGGGGGAGGAGGTTACGGCCGAGAGAGGAAAGGGGAGGACGGTTTATGATGAATAGAGGGTAGGAGCGAGGAGGAATGAGGAAGGAGGATGGAAGGTTTGTTTCGGCTCTCAATGCGACGCTCTGGTCTGTGGCATCTGAAGAGAGAGATGGCTATACGGTCGGCCGGCACAAGGGTACAAAAGCGGTTGATGAAATGAAAGGAGCTGGCTAGAGGCTGAACTGGAAACTGAGGCTGAACTGAAGGGCTGCGACTGACTGAGACTGACAGGTAGCGGCGCTCGCATCACGGCCACTCACTCTGAGTCCAGGCTCGGATGTCCCTCATGCGTCATCGCGTTAAGCCCAATGTAGAGCGGCGGCGAACGCACGACGAGGGCGCACGGCGACCAAACGCCACCTGCCGTGCGGCCGACGTCGTTCGTCCACGAGCTCTTGCTGCAAGCAGACGACAAGCGACAGATCAAGACGTCCGTATTGCCACGGCGACCATCGTCGGTCATCGACCATTTGCGGCGGCAATAAATGTATGATATAAAATATATTACTGTTACTGGCAGGGAACAGACGAAGGAGAGAGGTACGCGGATCAGCCGAGGGTTCCGTGGCGACCGTCTACCGGTGGGGCGACGCGTTTGCCGTGGTGTTATATTGTCGCACTATTGAGCTGTGATTTCTACTGGCACGAGCGACTCCCCACCACCACCCGCCAATCTAACACCTGGCCGCGTCGACTGCCCACCAGCCACCTCCGCCTAATGCCCTGACCGGCATGCACTGGCAATGAGAAGTCACTTCGCACGATATGTAGGCGATTGTCGGAGGGCAGCCAGCGGTGTTGGTGAGGTGATGCGGCTCGGCCACAGCCTCTGCCTCGCGGAGGCTCATGCAGCAGCAGGGAGGATGAGGATCACGCTGAATCAGCTGCCCAGCACGCGCGTGCAGCCTTGATCAGTGTGCTATCGAGAGAAGGTAATCCAGCCATCAGAGACGGGAGAGGTAGGAGGTGGGAGGAGGACAGGAGAGGAGGGGAGGGCAGGTTGTTAAATATTGCCTTGTTTCCCCTTTAGCGACCGACATCGCGCAAAACAGCCGCTATCGACAGGCATCTTGATTGACCAGATTAAGAACAAACAACAAAAATTCGTGTTGCAAAAACATATACAACCTAAACACAGAATAATACAATATACATAGCACAGCCGCGCCCTTTGTGGGGGCAGAGCGGTGGGTGACAATCATTCGTCAAACCAAAATAGAAAAAATTATTTTCACCTCTCTAGGCGACCACCTACCTTCGGGTACCACGAGAGACCCTGTAGATAGCTGAGTAGGTAATAGGGACACAAAGGCAATTTTTTAAGAGGTGGCCCGCATGCATGAGTGAGAGTTTATGTGCTGTTTAAACTGAATTAACCCTGAACTTGCTGCTCATGAAACTAGATGCTACTGAGAGAGCTACTATCTTGGAGTTTCTGGCTGCTCACGGTCGACAATACCTACTGCTACTCCTCCACTCCCCGCGTAGAACGCGGGCATTAGACCAGGAATTGAGTATTGTGGGAGTGCAGAAAAATACTTGGGCGAAGTGAATTTTTTTGATATGTGTGTCTCAGCGCGTAAATATTTGAGGCCGTGCTAACACATTTTTGGCCGTGCAGTTTTAAAAAGCATGACGCGGTGGCAAATCAACGGTTGCATGGCTCGCTTGGCTAATCCGTTTTTGGTTGGAAGAGATGGTACTACTGCAGCCGCACATATCCGATTTTGGCAACTGTGCACAGCAGCTAAGCCCCCGCACACTATTACGGACCCACCTCGCCGATCGATCGGAGGGGCCTCCACACACTGTCCGATGCCTCAAGATTGAGCCAAACCACTGCCACTCTGCGTCGCGTTCCAAGCGGATTTAGCCGTGTACTAAAGGTCGGGAGTGTTTTCGCCATTTTTCCCGAATGCGGTTCCCCATGGCGGGCTGTTCTGTGATTGTCAAGTTTTCTTCAGCGCTCGCCGAGCGGGTCGGATGGCCACGCACACTATCCGAGTCGCGTCGTAAGCCCTCGCACACTATACAACCCATTCCGCTCCCGATTCAATATTCGAATCGGGCCAAAATGACCTCCCGAGCCAAACTTAAGCCTCCCGATCGTGCTAAAATCGGATAGTGTGCAGCTAGCATAAGACTCGCGTACTACTAGACAGCGTAAGGGAGTTTCTGCTTACCCGAAGTCCCCACTGCCACTTGTGGAAGATGGATGCCACGTTTGTGCCGACGATGTAGCCCAGGCCGCTGCGAAAATCAAACAAGAGAGAGTTGAATACTCTGCATCGGTATGGACACTCGACGGTTCCATCAACAACAACAATCGCCAACAATCAACAATGAGCACACAGCACGAGTCCGCAACCCCTACCCACAACTACCACCACCACGTCCACCACCATGAGACCCTAACCCTAACCCAACCCTAACCCTAATCCTAACCCAACCCTAAACCCAACCCTAGTGTAACATGTGTTTTGCACGTGTTACATGAAGTAGTCAGCGAGGCTATAGACTAGGGTTGCTTGGTGACCAGCTAGTCTGCGTAGACGCAGCGTCGCGCGGCTACATTGATGTTACAGGGAGTTGGATAAGCGGGTTTTAGGTTAGGCAGTTTCGAGAGTCAGTGTGAAATAGGGGTAGGACGTGGTCTGAGAGAACGGGTGACATGTGCGCTCAGGATGTAGGGAGTTTTGGGGGAATATAGAGAGAGATGTAAGAGGGAGGATTCTGGTTCTGGGCGCGAGAGTGAGCACACGCGCGTATGCGCATGTGCGGCGTTCTTTGTCTGTGTGTAAAGAGATGTGATGTGTCTAAGATATTAAAGATTGTACAGTTTACCACACAAGTTTGGATCTTCTTCATCATTTCTACATGAACTCGCATTCTTGTTTACACTAGCCCTAACCATAACCCAAACTAACCTAACCCAACCCTAACCCAACCCTAACCAAAACCTAACCCAACCCTAACCCAACCCTAACCCAACCCTAACCCAACCCTAACCCTACCCATAGCCCTAACCCAACCCTAACCCAACCCTAACCCTACCCCCCACCCCCACTCTCTCCCTCACTCACCTGCCGACTGGGATCGCGAAGTAGAAGACCATGAGCATCTGCGAGCGTTTGTTCTTCGTGAACAGGTCAGCGATGATCGTCGGAGCGATGGTGGAGTAACTCGCCTCGCCGATGCCAACGAGACCCCGCAACACGAGGAACGCGTAGAAATGCTGCACGCAGCAACAAACAACAACAAACAGTAGAAATGCTGCACGCAGCAACAAACAACAACAAACAGTAGAAATGCTGCACGCAGCAACAAACAACAACAAATAGTAGAAATGCTGAACGCAGCAACAAACAACAACAAACAGTAGAAATGCTGCACGCAGCAACAAACAACAACAAATAGTAGAAATGCTGCACGCGGCAACAAACGACAACGAACCATTACCGCACAGCTAATCATGTTCGCACCAACCGTACACGTTACCGCACCAGGGTATTACTATTAGCCACGAATCAGTGTTGTTGGAGTGCAGAAAAAATATTTCGGAGTGTAATTTTTTTGTATGTGTGTCTCAGCCGTAATATTTTAGGCCGTGCTACACATTTTTGGCCGTGCAGTTTCAAAACTGACCATGCAAATCACGGCTGCACGGCTCGCTGGCTATTACGTTGACTTCATGTAAATTCCTCGATAGCAGGATATGTTAGCGAAACAATGCGAGAGAAAGACGTTATAGCAGTATTACTGTTGGTCTCGCACGCAACTTCAGTCTCGGAGCGGACGAATATAACAATAGGACGTTTGCGGATTTAAAGTCCTCAATAGTGACGTACCTTAGCGAAGTAATAGAAGAGAGAGGCATTGCCACGGTATCACCGTGGCGTACTATCACGTCTTGGGCGAAACTTACGAATATAACGAGGACCGACCCTGAAGTCCCGACGAGGAAATTTATAACATGTACATCAGACACGCAGAATATAACTACGGACGACTCACCCCCTGAGGAACGTACGATCCCGCAAACGTCGTCAGCGACCAGAGCGCTATGCCGACGGTCATGCATGCCTTCCTGTTGTATCGGTCGCCGAGGTAACCGAACAATGGAGCGAACACCATGTAGCTACAGATGAAGGCAGTCTGGAGAGCTCCCGCCTGACTGTTGGACAACCCATAGTAGATTTTTATTTGATCTAAAACACCTGAAACACAAAATGGAATATATCGAAGTGGACCGATCGACTAAGTGTTAACACGGATTGGGGGATAATGAATAATAAAAAAACATTATTTGATGACATGATTTATGAACAAGGCATGTTGCATGTTTATTGTGACGTGATCTGGTACTGCAGCCCAAACTGTAGCGATCAGGATCACTTAGACAGATGTGTCCCAAACAAATGCACCCACAGTCACAGTAACCCGAAGCACAGTGTAGGTATTGTTCGACGATCGTGTTACACAAAAGTAATGATGGTGTATTTAATACCGAGCAAACATCTTTCCTACCCTAATTAAATATAATATTAATAATTATTAGTTTAATTCACTGTGATAGATGTGTTGAACGATATGCAGTACTCGGTTACCAGGACACTGTATAGGTGGGGGCGGACATCCGGGAACTTTTGACTATTTGACCGGATGTAGATTCGAGCCGATGAAAACCAACCGTAGTAACGCACCGCTCAATGCACGCAGCGCATAGTGCCAAGGAATTATGTGGTGTTTGGATGCCGCAATCACAGTCTTTCAAGTGACAAAAAACGATCATTCTTTGAGCTGCCGTAGCCCGAGAGGAGAGACAGATGGCTAACAGCAATTAGTCAGGAGAACGAAGAGGGCGTAGCAATGGTGGGAAACAGTGGGAAACGGGCGAGTAGTCTCGCTGAAAAGCAGTTTTTTGCACACTTCCTGTGAAGTCACATAATGTTTCTCGGTCGAAATGAACAAAGAAGACCTTTAAGAACACCCCTGTCGAGTTTAAAGGGGCTACCCCCACATTTACGGAAATGACATAGGTCTCAATCTGGACATCATCTCTATTCTTGAACAGCAGCGGCTCCCATTCGGGCGGTGTCTATATTCAAGCCGGTACGGGAGATTACGGTACGCATATATTTGCTAATATATTGACTAATCGTGCGTCAATAAACTCAATATTCACAGAGAGTATAGCTAAGACATGTGTCTATAGGTATCTAGAATATTAAAAATTAAATCATCTGGAATTTGCTTCCGTGCGCATAACTAATCGTGCAGGACTAGCATGACTAATAGTGCCGCTTCGTGCGTCAATAAACTCAATATTCACAGCTAGTAGTATGAATTCAAGCCGGTACGGGAGATCTTTTGCATAATACATTCTAGATACCTATAGACACATGTCTTAGCTATACTCTCTGTGAATATTGAGTTTATTGACGCACGATTAGTCAATATATTAGCAAATATATATGCGTACAGTCATCTCCCGTACCGGCTTGAATATATAGACGCTCCCAGCCGATTCGCGCTTTGTTTTCATCGGCGCGGCTCACCGGACGTATTGCCAAGGGGAAGTGACGTCACTCCGCCCCCAACCTATAGTGGTACTTCTGCTATAATAATTAATTATTATTATTACTAGCTGTATCTTACCGGCAACCGTAAACCTATCCATATAATTCAAGAGGTTTATCAAGAATAATATCGCAACCGAGATGTGCGCTCGTGTCAGAATTTTTCTCTCGGTGGCTGCGTCACCGGCTCCCTTCCCCAACGCCAGCGGAGGGTCATCGTCATCGTCCCTGGTCGCGTCGGCGTCTGCATCGTCCGGGAGGATGTTAGTTGTGTCACTTTCCACCGCGAAGACATCTCCGTCGGTCACCTCTGTCGACATGTCGTCGAGAACGTAGTGATCTGGCAGGTCACCTGACATGAACGACTCGCTCTTTGGTTTATTTATGTTTAAATAAGAATCACAACAAGATAAGCTGCCGATAAGCAATGACTAATTATTGACATAGAATAGTGAATGGGTGGCGCCATGTTTCGAGTCACGTGTTTCGGGTGGGACCGTGGGATAATGCGGAGAGGCGTTATTTTATTTTTAGCGGCCGTATATAAATGCAAATAATATAAATATCACGTTTGGAGTAACTATGGGAGTAACGTATCTGGTAGAAGCTAGGGTAGGAAGGTAAGAAAATACTTTTTATTTTTTAAATATTTTTTTGCATGGCGATGCGTAAATGCACGACTCGTGAGAATAATATATGTTTATCCTACAATTTTTTTTACGATTATTGCTATCTGTAATGTTTTGTTTATATGTATATATATATATATATATATATATATATTTATTTATTTATATTTATATCTATACAAACATATCATCAAGAGCTCTATTATGAGCTCTTGATATTATATCTGTGTCTTGCATATCTTGTGGCCTCTTCTGCCACATATGTTATATATCTAACTAGTTATCAACTACTTTCTGTACGGACAACTATAGTTAGTATAGTTAGTGATCGTGACCAAGCCCCTAAGTCCTGTGCTTTATAAATATGACATGATGCGCAGGGTCGAGCGTAGTTAACCCATTTTGCTTGGGGAGAGGGGCAAAGGCACGTGCGATCTGTGTTCTCTGAAGGTGACCGCAACTGACAATGGGGGAGGGGGCAACGGCATATCTACATTTGGGGGGGGGGCAACGGCCTTTCAGACTTCTATGATGTGGCACTCGTAACGTCGGTCGACCGACGTCCGAGCGCTATTTATATGTACAATAGCATAGGTGGGAAATCGTGGCGGGAGGCTGCGAGCAAAGCGAATTTTGTAGGTCGGATATTTCTAGCGTATCACGCTGGGCATAATACAATCTTTTTCATTGATAAAAATCATCGTTGCAATAGTATAAAAAGCTGTTAAAATACTGAAATTCTCAAGTAATACACAGCAATATAATACTATACGATTCGAAAAAAATACAATATACAATACAAGCATTTTTACTACGCATATACAATACAACTGACGAGGGAAATAACTCCATGACGACAAAAGGTTACCGATGATGGACACGTGTGACAGTGATCAATACCGCTATCGGTACTAACCCCAGTCATCTTGTTCTCATAATTGGTTCATATTATCGGATCAGATCTAACTGAGTATCACAGGATTGATAATAACAACATGTAAAGTATACATACCCTTCCCCGCATTCCCACCGTATCGGCCTGTTAACGTTAACTGTAACAGGAGAAATCACGAGCGATATTTCGCTTTGTAAGCGCGCTTTTCTCCTCAGTATATATATATATATATATTTCGTAGATTTTCNTACACTCATACGGCCCCGTGGCTACATGGAGACGGCCGCGGGTTACATCAGACGGCCCCGTGGCTACATGGAGACGGCCGCGGGTTACATCAGACGGCCCCGTGGCTACATGGAGACGGCCGCGGGTTACATCAGACGGCCCCGTGGCTACACTCATACGGCCCCGTGGCTACATGGAGATGGGCCACGGGGCCGTCTGATGAAACCCGCGGCCGTCTCCATGTAGCCACGGGGCCGTATGAGTGTAGCCACGGGGCCGTCTGATGTAACCCGCGGCCGTCTCCATGTAGTCACGGGGCCGTCTGATCTAACCCGCGGCCGTCTCCAAGTAGCCACGGGGCCGTCTGATGTAACCCGCATCCGTCTCCATGTAGCCACGGGGCCGTATGATGTAACCCGCGGCCGTCTCCATGTAGCCACGGAGCCGTATAAGTGTAGCCACGGGGCCGTCTTATGTAACCCGCGGTACACTCATACGGCCCCGTGG